CTATCTCTATCCCCACAAGCTGTTCCATAATGTTATTCGCTCCTTCTCTCCCTACTGACTCCACGCTCTAACACTTTAATAAAAGCTTTTCCTACCACCCCTCTGCTATGAATCTATCGACGTTTATTCTTCCGCTGGGTCTTCTTTTTCCCAATCGTTTTTTCTATTGTTTCTTTTTCTTCTCACTTTCTCTCCCTGGATTTCTCTGGACATATTTTCCATCTCCTTTTGACAACCAATCCGACCAATTGTCTGCTGGCGCGACACTGAAGGAACCCATCTGCACCACAGTCATTGGAAAAAACGTCCTTCAAATTTAACCAACACCCAATCGCCCGTTGGGCTAGCCAGAGCCACAGCAGTCGAGTGGGTAGACCTACTGCATCGGAATCTGCCAGAGACTTGAAACCGTTCCACAAGACCTAGAAGCGAGCGAGAAGAAATCAACTGGTTTGCAGTAGCTTGTATAAAGACATTGGATATTAGATATACATCGTCTGTAACTCACGGTGATATAAGTTTCGTCCTGTGTAAGGTGTAGCGCGTCTTCCCACATAGTCTCGATTCGTTTCTGATATTTTGTTTTACGTGCTGAGGCTAGAAATACATGTGAAACTTGACGTTTTCTCCTTGTAGTACTTTTAGCATCTGAGTGCTACCAGTAGCTGTCTAACCTCCGCTGGAATCCATTTGAAACACTTAAGTGTCCAGATGTCGTTGTTGTAGCCGTTGATTTTAGTCCACAAATAAGAATTCGCAGGGATATATGTGGCAGCTGTGTAGGTAGAAAATGGCGGTTATTTCCTATGCTTTCTTGAAAAGCCCCGTATTTCTGGTCAACCTGAATCTGAGTGATCCAGGAATATGGTCTTAAGTGGCGTCTATGACCCTGACTCCGCGGCGGTCACTGACTACATAAGTATCAGTTCCTTCTGGAGAAGAGGGTCATTAGGAGGTTGGCAGTTTTTGAACGGTTATCATAAGTTAACTTGTGATTACCAATCGGTTCGAGCTTGCTTATGTCTGCATCTAAGTGGACGTAAAACAGCAGCATCTACAAGGCCATTCGAAGTTCACCTCACTGTCAGTGACGCAAAGAAAAGTTTTTTCAATGAACTGGCTGAGTAGTTCCCTGGAGAGGACATGTCGCATCTTAAAGGCGCTGATCACCCTCTTAGGTCTACTGCAGAACTAACCCTCAGAAAATGGTTAGTAAGGGTTAATGGGCCTCAGTAACTTATTATGAGCTATTGTATGCTCATGAAGACGTTTCTGAAGTTTTACAGTGAGCTGCGAGCCAGCACCCACCTTCGTAGCGTAGACTGTCATGATGTCACAGCGTCAGTGGTTTCTAGGCGGAAGAGGGAAGTCGGTTTATGAGGCTGCAGATGTTCATCGAATTTTAGGATTTGTCCTGGTGCGAACTTGACAGACGCAAAGACCAATCACTAATTATTCGAACTTGTTATATACCCACGAATACGAGACCAAGGAAGAACACGATAGCGTAGTCGGATGGAATAGTATATTTGGATGGTTATGCCAAAATACCGATGCGTTCCAACTAACTGGCTAGAGAGTCGAATACGAGCAATGCAACGTAACACGACAGCGTGCCAAATGGCGAGGATGCTTGACCGGATGCCTTCAGCTTAGCGAGTCCAGTTAAACTATCAAGGTCAGCATCAATGTCGAAGTCGTCAAACCCTAGGCTATTGATTTTGGGGAAGTGTATGACGCTACAGATCACTCCCCCCCTAGTGGGTTCGTGAGGACCCTAAGACGATACCAGCCGGAAGTAAAAACCCAGTGGTTTCTCCACTGGTAAAACTCTTCCGATGGGCTCACTGCGTGAGGTGGCCCCTGGTTGTCTGAACCTTATTCTAGGGTGTCGTGGCGATTAAATAAATAAAATACAATAAATGAAATTGTACGTCGGTCGCGGTCATCTGTTCCTTTCGACGTTCCGTCCAGTGCTCGTTGCACCTGGAATATAAATAAAAGTCTTTAATACCACGAAAACGTTGCGTAAAAATGGGAATTATTTATATATAAACGTGTCGAAAAATAAAAATTTACGCTTATCTTCGCCGTTTTTTTAGTTTTTATTACATGGTAAATAAAAATTGATATAAAAAGGCAAAGTGTACGAGGGTTTGTGCATGCCGGTAAATAAGAAAAATAGTGCCTCGAAAAAAAATGGTTGGCACACACATAGCTAAGTTGAATATGACTTCAGGTACTCTGGGAACCTGACGGTTCGACCTGATCGTGTTTTTTGTTGCGCCGCTGGTTGTTGCAGCTGTGCATTACCAGGCACATCGTCGAGAATTTCGATAATTGAGTCATCCGTCGGTCGGATGTAGCGAGCTGAAACGTCACTTACAATGGGGTTGCCTTCGAAATAAGCTGGTTTCAAACGGTCGATACTGACAGTATCTTCGCGTCCGCCTCGCTCAATTACATAGAATTTCTCATGTCGCTTAATCACTTTGAACGGCCCGTCGTAGGGTGGTTCAAGTGGTCGACGAACAGCGTCGTGGCGAACAAACACGTGTGATGTCTTCTGTAAACTGGGGTGGACGAAAACATCAGTCGTTTGCGGTCTAATCGGAGAAGGCCTAACTGAACGCATTGCGTTTGTAAGCCTAGTCACGTAAGATGCCCTGTCGGAAACATGTTTGAAAGTTGAAGGGGAAACAAACTCACCTGGTAGGCGAAGAGTGGTCCCATAGACGAGTTCTGCAGGAGTGCATCCAGCATCAACTTTCAACGCGTTACGAATACCTAGTAGGACTAGAGGCAGAGCCTCGGTCCACTGAGGTATGTTTGTAGCTGAAAGGGAAGCTTTCAGCTGTCGATGGAAACGCTCTACCATGCCATTTGCTTGTGGATGGTAGGCTGTCGTTCGGAACCGAGTGCAACCTAAAAGTGCCGTTAGAGCGTGAAATAGTCCGCACTCAAATTGGCGCCCACGGTCGGTTGTGACGTAGGATGGACATCCGAAGTTCGCGATCCATCTTTCGACGAAAACACGAGCAACTGTTTCGGCAGTAATATCTTTAATGGGTACTGCTTCCGGCCATCGTGTGAAACGATCAACACAGGTGAAAAGGTAGGTACATCCATTAGATTCTGGTAGGGGTCCTACAATATCTATATGGACGTGGTCGAAACGCATGTCTGGGGCTAGAAATGAGCCTAAAGGGCTTTTCGTGTGTCGCGTGACTTTACACTTTTGACAAGCTAAGCACGACTGGGCCCACTCCTTAACGTCTTTGTTCATCCCAGGCCAGCAGAAACGTTGTGCGATAAGCCTAATGGTGGCTCGTACACCTGGATGAGAGAGTTTGTGCAACGTATTGAAGACGTTGCGTCGACAACTCTTCGGAACTATTGGGCGTGGTTGACTAGCAGAGACATCGCACAAAATTGCATCCTTGTCTGATCCAACAGGACAAAGTCGCAGTTTGAGAGTTGTGGACGACAACTCATGATGCAGCTCAAGGTCTTCCTTTTGACGCCGAGCTAGTTCAACGAGATCAATACCCTCGATATAGTTTATCGAAGCTATTCGAGATAGTGCGTCGGCTGCGGAGTTGTTTGCTCCAGAAATGTGGCGGATGTCTGACGTGAACTGGGAAATGTAATCCAGCTGTCGCGACTCACGAGGGGAGTATTTGTCAGACGCCGAGCTGTTATTGGTCGGGATATGTGATCACGTTGAGATATTTGATCACGTCGGGCTCACCAATTTAGGATTTGTCCTGGTGCGAACTTGACAGACGCAAAGACCAATCACTAATTATTCGAACTTGTTATATACCCACGAATACGAGACCAAGGTAGAACACGATAGCGTAGTCGGATGGAATAGTATATTTGGATGGTTATGCCAAAATACCGATGCGTTCCAACTAACTGGATAGAGAGTCGAATACGAGCAATGCAACGTAACACGACAACGTGCCAAATGGCGAGGATGCTTGACCGGGTGCCTTCAGCTTAGCGAGTCCAGTTGAACTATCAAGGTCAGCATCGATGTCGAAAGTCGTCAAACAATAGGCTATTGATTTTGGGGAAGTGTGTGACGCTAAAGACTCATACGGTTGAGACACTAGCTACACATACATGATTGCCACTTGCCCTGTTGTATCATGTGGCAGAAGTATATGTAGTCTGAAGCGAGGCTATATATAGGTGGCGAGACTTAAAGTATGACATCCATCTATGAAGCGTCTGACTGTTGACCTGAGAATTACATGGAAATTTAGATTAACAGTTGGTGTCTTTCTGGCAACCGAACTCAGTAGTTCGCAGCTCTTGGTGTTTTGCGCAGAATAACTGGCACAGTTCCATGCAGATTTAATCATATTGGAATATCTGGTCTAACATTGATACTGGCTGACTAGTGCCACGTTGTTTACACAAATTTTCTTTTACTGCATTGTTCTATTATAAATCTGAAGGTTGACTAAAGAGTTTATTTTTGCCTATTTTCTTCAGCCAATTCCGTATAGCAAACTACCTGAGCACGATTAGATATGAGAAATCCGCTTCACTTATGTGGCTCAAGGTCGCTTGGAAACAGAAGCCAGGCAAATTCGATTTGGGGATAGCTTATAGTCACACTGGATAAAGTTGTTGAGGGAATTTTCAGCGATGTCTTCTGGGGATGTTGATAAAGTAAATAGTTCCTTAATATTTAGTCGCGTAGTCTATTGTCTGTAAAGCTGCCGTGGCCTGGGAGCCGGGTAAACCGTTGACAATAGAAGATGTCGAAGTGTCTCCCCCACTGTATGGTGAAGTACGGATTAAAATTTATTCTACTGGGGTTTGTCACACGGATGCATACACTTTAGGTGGTCATGATCCAGAGGGTGTTTTCCTGTCATACTTGGTCATGAGGGTGCAGGCGTCGTAGAAAGTGTTGGTGAAGGCGTATCATCCATCTTACCTGGTGATCACGTAATTCCTCTGTACATCCCACAGTGTAATGAATGCAAATTTGTCTTTCTAAAAAAACAAACCTGTGCTCAAAAATAAGGTAAAATATTTAGTAAACCCACTTTCCTTCAGAGTAACTCAAGGTCTTGGTCTTATGCCAGATGGCTCAGTTCGGTTTAAATGTCGAGGTCAAAAAATACACCATTTCATGGGCTGTAGTACTTTTAGTGAGTACACAGTGTTACCTGAAATAAGTGTAGCGAAGATAGACAAAAACGCCCCACTAGATAAAGTTGGTCTTTTGGGTTGTGGCATAAGCACAGGGTATGGAGCCGCTTTAAATACTGCAAGTAATTCTACGTTTTGCCGCTTATCGTCTTCTGCAACTGTTTAGATGTAGAAGAGGGTAGTGTATGTGCTGTATGGGGACTTGGGGCAGTTGGGTTAGCGACTATAATGGGATGCAAGAAAGCTGGTGCTCGGCGAATAATTGGAATAGACATTAATGAAGATAAGTTTGCTTTAGCTCTGTCATTCGGAGCTACAGAATGTGTCAATCCTGCGAAGAATTCAAAACCAATACAACAGGTTTGTTTTATGATATTTCACAAATTATTTGGTCGTTTTGCTTGAAATATTGTATGGAGACGTTAACTATACATTCTTCCGTTTAAATTCCAATTTAAATAAATTTTCAGAAATATTTTTGGGCGATCAATCGCCTCATCTTTGCCATAAATATTTAGCATTCTAATGAATTCTTACCTAAAGTGTTTTTATGTTATGCATAACTCGGAGTAATAAGAAGAAAGATATGTCAGATTTGTGACATACTTTATTAGTGCTGTATATTCGGATGGATGTTCTAGTCAGTCAGTTGATTTACTTTTCCCTCAATAGTACTGCAGCAATTTAATTTATCATGTCTAGTACAACTCGTGATTAGGTACCTGGGCTTTGAAGGTACAGAGGAAAAGCGCAAGTAAACTTATACAACAAATAGATAGTTGCACTTCTAAAACTGTGACTAAAACAAGACGTGTACTCATGCGCTACTGTCCTCAATCTTCACATATTCATCGTCATATCCAGCTGCTAGTTCCTACTGAATCGGATTCGCTGATTACAATTCTAGTTACATTCTACGCTGTCAGGAAATTACTATATAAAAAAAGATTAGACTAGTGTGCATATTTCACATGTCACAGCTTCTCATTCATTTACTGAACTCACTTTGTTCGTGATTAGGTCCTAAAAGGTTATAAGTTTTAGTGGTGCTTGGCTTGGGATCTCAGTATCCCCTTATTTTGGTTCTGAAAAATGGTTCACGTTCAGATGTGGTGTGGACAATGTCTTGTTTGGTCTACTACACCAAAGTGCACCTAATTTGTGCATTTTGAAGTCATTGGTTATCCTGGCGTTTTAAGGACTCCTTATTCTTGTGGTTTCCGAAAGATATCTTTGAAAACTTCTAGCTGTTATTGAAGGCTCTCTACTCGAACACTTGTGGGCGTGTTAGAGCTTATGGTGAGATGTCCGGGTAGCTGTACTCGTCAAGTAGTGTCCGTCAAGGGTGCCGACTGTCTCCATTCTTATTCAGTTTTGTCATAGATATTCCTATGGAGGTCTCCCTTTCATCACCTGACAACATAGAGGTTGACCTAATCACAGGAGAATTTTCGTTAGACCTAGAATATGCAGATGACATAGTCCTGTTCGGTGAAGACTCTGACTCTTCTGAACACTTCGAGTGGGAATTTGAGAATCTTTGGGATGCGTTTCTCATCACCCAAATGCAAATTGTTGCTCCAGAATTGGTCTTCAGTGGTGCCGCGGCTAACAATAGAGAGCGATGGGGTTGAGTGTGTCTACCACTTCACTTACCTGAGAAGTAGGACCAGCCCAGCTCAGCCCTTGTGGCTCAGTGGTCGATGAAATCTCTGCACGGATACAAAAGGCTCGTCTAGCTTTTTCCAGTTTACGCCAACTATGGCGCCGCCGTGATATCCGATTGTCTATCAAGGGTCGCGTGTACTGCATAGGAGTCCGGTCTGTTCTACTGTATGGTCGTGAAACATGGTCATTGAAAGTGGAAGACATGGGAAGGCTTCAGGTGTTTGACCACTGTTGCCTTCGTAGTATGGGCTGTATTCCTTGATGTCACCACATGAGTAACGCAGAAGTCAGGAGTAGAGTTTTAGGGAGAAGAGATGAGTCAGTTGACGAGGTTGTGTACCTTCGTCGACTGAGATTGTTGGGATACGTGTTACGTATGTCTAGTCACCGATTACCTCGTCACACAATGTTGGCCGAAGTAGGTCCAGGCTGGAAAAAGACCCGAGGTGGTCAGACTGAAACATGGCCTTGACGTATGAAGTGTTTGACTGTTGGTTTGAGCCGTGTATGAGGGTGATGCAGACTGGGTGGTTGGTGTCCGCGGGATAGGAAAAGTCAGTGATTGGAGACTAGGTGATGGCATGGCTGAGAACCGATGTCGGTGGCGCAGATGTATGCACACATTATCCTCATCTTAACAACGCTATATCGAATCTGACCATTTGTCATTCTTCCTTTCTCTCTTGTAGTACTTTATATTTCTTTTGACTGAATTATCTTTTCTTCGTCCTCCACTTCACTACCTTTTTACTTGATGTGGTGATATGAGCTATGGCACTCGGACCGTTACGCAATAATGCCTGATCCTTTATCGATATTGATGATGATGAATATTTTTCTTTCGATTTCTTATGAATTTATTTATAGATTTTGATATGTAATTATTGAGACGCATGGCATTCTTGATGTATCGGATTTCTTGTCGTAGATTTTCCAACCTACTAGTAAGCTTTTTCGCCCTATCACTTATACATTTAACTAAGCCTACTTTAACTGAAATGGGGTGGGAGGATTCGAAGTCTAATTCGAAATCTACTGTACCCAAACCAGAAAAGGAAGCTCTCAGAAACCTTTAAAGTGATAACAATATAGTAATTGCCAAATCGGGTAAGGGCAACTCAGTAGTTGTGATGAACAAATCTGACTACACCTGCAAGGTGAACGAGCATATAGAAACAGGACCATATGAGGAAATTAAGAAGTCAGTGGATACTATTATGAATAAGGTCGAGATATCGACAGGGGATCTGATACGCCGGATGAAGCCAATTCTGGATGAGTCAAAGTGGTTTAATTTAGTGCCGAAAACTAATAGTCCCAGTAGAATGTATGATACTGTTAAGATTCATAACCCAAGTTATCCCATCAGGCCTATAGTAGATTTTATAAGCACTCCGATTTACGAGTTGTCTAAATATTTAGCAATGGTGTTAGGCCCAATAAGAAATCACTCAAAGTCTCGACTTACCAACTCTTATTACTTAAAGCATAGATTAGACGACATTCACTTAGACGACAGTGAAAAAATAGTTAGTTTTGACATAACTAGCCTTTACACAAACATACCAATTGACATGGCTCTGGAGACACTTATAAATGGGTTTAAGGATGACAAGAAGCTTACGCATCGAACTAAGGTGCCGATCGAGGAAATCATGTTAAGAGTACGATTGTGCCTAATGTCTACAATTTTTAAGTTTCAAAATAAAATATACAAACAAACTGAAGGTGTTGCCATGGGATCACCAATATCCTCTGTCGTCGCAGACATATTTATAGATATTTGGGAACAGATAACCCTTCAAACATTTAGTCTTACTCCAAAGATATGGTTTCGATATGTGGATGGTACGTTTACAGTACTAAAATCGGAACACATTAATAGGTTCTTGGCACATATAAATTCAGTAGTGGATGCAATCCAAGTTACCTGTGACTTAGAAAGTGAAGGAGGTGAACTAGCAATGTTGGATTGCAAGATTAAACGAACACAAGAAGGAAATTTAGAGACTAGTGTCTATAGAAAACCTACCCATTCCGATTGCTACTTAGACTTCATATCCTCCCACCCCATTTCAGTTAAAGTAGACGTAGTTAAATGCTTAAGTGATAGAGCGAAAAGCTTACTTTTAGATCGGAAAATCTGCGACAAGAAATTAGACACACCAAGAATACCCTACGTCTTAATAACTACCCACCAAAGTTTATAATAAATTCATAAGAAGTCGAAAAAATATTAGCAGTGGTAGTAGTAGTAATACAGGTGTAACTAACCATTCTATTACTAATGGTAATAATGGTGACAGGGTTGAGAGAGAATTCAATGCCTCTGCTATGTTACCATACAAGGAAGGCACCTCAGAAGCATTAAGAAGAATTCTCAATAAGGCTGGATTAAAGTGGCATTCAAACCAAAAACTCGTTTAGAAACAAGCTTTGTAGGTTAAAAGATCTTACCAATTCAGTTAAGCAAGTAATCTGGTTTACCAAATACCTTGCAATGATTTCGAGGTCAAATACATAGGTCAAAGTAGTCGATTTGGGTTGGTCTTTGCTCATTCTTCTTTAGTCTATTTAATATAATATTCCGCATGGTTGACCGTTGTGTTGATTCACCTCTGTTGCATGTGTTAGGTGTGACATGCATAAATATAGATTTTGTTACTAACCCTCCTTTCCATTTGTTTTTTGTTGTACTTATTACGTTAGTGTTGTTCCAATCGATGAAATTTCCTCCAAACTTTTCCAGTTTTGTCCCTCTGTGTGCTTATCTTTTGTTAATCTTTGATGTTCATTCAGTCTTGATGTTTGTCCTACATAACTTATTGGGCAGTCTTCATAAGGTATTTTATACACCACATTGTTCTTGTCCAATTCATTAACTGGGTTTTTTAATTAATTTTTTATCAACTTCATTGATTGAAATGGTGTGAAGATACCAGCCTTTCTAAGGTTTTTGCTAATTACCCCTGGAGTATTTTTTTGTATGGTTATACCATTGACTTCTTGTATTAATCTTTCGTAATAACTGTTGTCGACTTCTGTCTCTTCTTGATGTTTTATGAATTGCTCTCGGTATTGGTTCTTTAATGACATCTTGAATAAGATATTCATTTCTTTTCGTTGGTCATCAGGGTATGTTGTTAGTTTACGTATTCTGTCTGCGAGACCGTGTATTATTATTATTATTATTAGTCCCTTGGGTTCCTAGTGGAACATAGGGCTTCAGTAGCACGCCTCCAGTGACCTCTGTTCTCTGAGATCTTTTGAACCTGGTTCCACGACAGCCCAGAAGCTCTCATTTCCTCCTCGCACGACCTCCTCCATGTCACCCTCGGACGTCCAACTCGTCGCTTCCCATGGGGATTCCACTCGAGGGCCTGACGCGTGATGTCCTCAGTCGGCCTTCTCAGTGTATGCCCAATCCATCTCCACTTCTTCCTGCATATTTGTTGCGTGATAGGTTCTTGGTTGGTTCGTTCCCAGAGTTCCTTGTTGCTTATTTTTTCTGGCCATCTGATCTTCAGCAGCGAGCGTAAGCAGTTGTTGATGAATGTCTGTAGTTTATTGGAAATGCCTTTCGTGACGCGCCAAGTCTCTGAGCCATACAAGAGCACTGACTTGACGTTGGTGTTGAAAATCCGTATCTTGTTCCGCATGCTGAGTGCAGAAGATCTCCACACTGGTTTCAGGCTAATGAACGCCTGTCTTGCTTTTCCGATTCTGACTTTGACGTCCTCGTCCGTCCCGCCTGTAGTTGAAACAGTGCTTCCTAGATAAGTGAAGGAGGTTACTTCCTTCAAGTTTCTCCCGTTGACGGTGATTGGAGTTTGTTGTTGTTGTTGATGGTGGTGGTGCGGTATCTTCATCACTTCTGTCTTCTCTATATTCACCTGAAGTCCCGTCTTAGCTGCCTCCTCTGTCAACTTGTTAGTTTTTGCCTGCAGATCTTCAAGTTTATGTGACATTAGGCATAAGTCATCGGCGAAATCCAAGTCTTCTAGGTTCTTTTCCGTCGTCCAGTGTATCCCCCTCTTCTCGCTGCCTACTGTTTGCTGCATGATCCAGTCCACCACAATAAGGAATATCATGGGGGATAGTAGGCAACCTTGTTTCACTCCTGTCTTCACTTCAAAGGCATCACTGAGCTTCCCATTGTGGATTACTTGGCATGTGGCATCTTCATATAGTTGTTGAATGAGGCGGATAAAGGTTTGCGGTACTCCGTAGTATTGAAGCAGTTTCCAAATTACTTCTCGGTCGACGCTGTCAAAGGCCTTCTCAAAGTCGATGAAGTTGAGGTATAGAGCTGATTGCCATTCTACGCTCTGTTCTATGATGATACGAAGCGTTGCAATTTGGTCAGCACATGATTTGTACTTCCTGAAGCCTGCCTGTTCCGGTCGCAGTTTTGAATCCAGTGCGTCTTTAAGCCTCTCCAGGATGATGCGGCTTAATATTTTACTTGGGGTGGATAGGAGAGTGATTCCGCGCCAGTTCTTGCAAGCACTGAGGTCTCCCTTCTTCGGCAGTTTGACAAGGTAACCCTTCTTCCAATCGTCAGGTACCTTCTCTTCCCTCCACACCTTCTGCAATAGTGGTGTGAGCATGTCCGCTGTTGTCTCTGCATCTGTTCTCAGTGCTTCTGGCGGTATTCCATCTGGTCCTGCTGCTTTCCCGCATTTCAGTAGCTTTATGGCGTTCAGGACTTCCATTTTCGTTGGGGGATTTATGTTCACTTGTAATTCAGCGGCTGCAGGTGGTATTTCTGGACGAAGTGCAGGTGGTGGTCGATTCAAGAGCTTCTTGAAGTGGTCGGCCCATCGTTTCCTCTGTTTCTCTTCTTTTGTAATTAAATTTCCTTCTTCATCTTTTATTGGTTTCATCTGTGTTGGTCTCTTCCCTGATAGCAACCTGGTTATTTGATACAATGTCGTCAGGTCTCTCTTACCTGCAGCCTGTTCTGCTTCACTTGCCAGTGTGTCGTAGAAGTGTCGTTTGTCTTTGCGTGCACTCTTCTTCACTTCTTTATCCAGTGTTTTATACATTGTGCTCAGTTCCTCTTGTCGTTGAGCATCCTTGCACTGGTTTATCTTCTGCTTCACCATCCTCCTCTCCTCTATCAGCTTCCAGGTATCCGTCGAGATCCATTCCTTGTCTTCCTTCTTCCTTCCTAATACTGTTGTGCAGGTTTCTTTCCACATAGCTTTCAAAGACTTCCAGTGTTCTTCTACACAGGTTTCTTCAGGGATGTCCCTCGACGTCTCCCATTTTGTCTTGATGGCTGCTTTGAAGATCTCCTTTGTAGTTTCATCCTTCAGTTTCCGAGTGTTGTACTTGAATTGAGGTCTATCACCAGCTTCCTTGAAGGCTTTTAACTTGATTTCGAAGGTTCCTTGCACTAGATAGTGGTCTGAACCTACATCTGCTCCTCTTCTTGACCTTGTGTTAAGTAGACTGCGTCTCCATTTTCTTGAGATTGAGATAAAGTCGATTTGTTTTTAGTGTGTCCATCTGGTGAAATCCATGTCGCTTTGTGGATATCCTTGTGCCTGAACACACTGCCTCCAATCACCAAATCGTTGAATGCACAGAATTCTGCAAACAATTCTCCATTCTCATTCATTTCACCTAGCGCCTCTCGACCCATGGTTAGTTCTCTTCCCGTGTTGTCCCCTCCCAGTTTGGCATTCATGTCGCCCATTAGAATTTTGATATCGCCAACTGACGTCTTGTCCAGTGTTGACTGAAGTTGTCTGTAGAATTCCTCCTTTTTCTCTTGCTCTGCATTATTTGTAGGTGCATAACATTGTATGATTGTGACCTTTCTTCCTTTTGAGTTGAATCTTGCTGTCATGATCCTGGAGGAGATTGGTTCCCACTGCATGAGAGCCTTCGATGCTCTTGAGGACATCATGATAGCCACTCCCTCAGTGTGCTCGTGGTTGGCGTCTGGGTGACCGGAGTAGATTATTGATTCTCCAGTTGACAGTTTGGAGAGTCCACTCCCATTCCATCTGCTTTCGCAAATCCCAAGCACTTCGATGTTATACCTTCTCATCTCCTTTGCAATCTGGGCTGCCTTACTGGGTTCAAACATCGTGCGGACATTCCATGTCCCCACGTTTACTTTCGCTTTCATCGAGAGAAGACACATCGGCCAATTGGCTTCCCGAAGGCTTTCACCAACTGGCGTCATTTCGCCTCTCCGATTCCAGCGGGGAATAAGTTTGTTTTCATTTTTTATATTTTGTTTGTGCTTTGAAGTTTCTTTAGCGGTTAGATTTGTTTTACGGGGTAGGGTTGCTAGCCCTATGCCCAACCTTCCCTCTTTACCCGGGCTTAGGACCGGCTAGTAACTAGTAAACTAGTTAACCAGGCGAGGTTGCGAGACCGTGTAATAAGCCTTATTTTACTGTGGTTGGATGGGCTTAATAGTAACTCAGAAACGTTCCAGAATGCTTTGGTTTTCTACATAGTGTTGTTTTTAAAGTGTTTTCTACTATTATTTTGATTTTATAGTCCAACATTGGCAGTTCCCCCAATTCATTACTTACTTCCTTAGTGACTTTTATTCAGTCCACCTGATTTTATGTGTAAATGGAATCCTTCGACATCCTTTTTATTTATCATAACTAGAGTATCAATATATCTCTACCAAATTTTAATCGTAGATGTGAATGGTCTTATTGCGTTGTCTTCCCAAAAATCTAGAAATATATCCGCTGTTATTCGTAAGATGGGCGATCCCATTGCTCCTCGTCTAAGAAAAAAAACAGATCTTAATAGAAGACATATTAAGCGGAGTAGAACTCTGCTCAACAACGATCTCCTTCATATCTGAATAGAAGTTATAACAACTAAAAGAACAGGTTCCGAGTTTTTGTCTTGTGTGTGCTGTTGTAACTTTTATCTTTTTGTTCTCATAATTCCATATTCGATTGTTTATTTGATATAGCGCACGGTGATACAGTATTATTTACTAGATGAATTTTAGAGCAGAATTTATTGCTCATATTCCTATGATGTGTCGTATTCATATATTCTCGAAAAGTCATCCAGTAGCTAATACTGTATCAAATCAACAATCCAATATGGAATCATGCTCTACCACAGTGCCCATGTTTTACTCTTACGTTTTTCTGATAGGTTCTAATTGAAATGACTGATGGAGGTTGTGACTACACTTTTGAATGCATAGGAAAAGTGGCAACTATGCGTCAGGCTTTGGAGTCCTGTCATAAGGGTTGGGGTGTTTCAGTTATAATCGGTGTAGCAGAAGCTGGCGCGGAGATTTCAACTCGACCATTTCAACTTGTAACAGGGCGTGTATGGAAAGGTTCGGCCTTTGGAGGTTAGTTATATTATTCAGCGCAGTATGTATACATTTTATGTAACTGTTAGCATTATTAGACAGAAACTGTACTCATTAAATTGCATGAACTTTTGAGTAATTCACCTTTAATGCATTTGATTTGGTTTTGTGAGTCAGAACTATATTGTCAGGAGGAATTCCTTATTTCCTCAAATCAATGCAAACTTTTAGTGAATTAAATTATTGGACAGCTAGTAAATGATAATCTTCCAATATTACTTACGTTAAATTAGGAGAAATTAGTTCTGCGCAGGCTATAGGAAGAAATTCAAGAACACTTTTTACTCCTTTTCTTATGCTTCACGGATTGGTTTTATACTGTCCCCACTTACATATTTCCCTTAGCGATTAGGTGCATTTTATATCTCTCAATTACTCAACGAGTTGTTGTCACTGGAACAGCTATTCTTGTAAGTCCAACCAATCCAAGAATGTTGGTTTGATAGTAGTCAAACTAAATGTAGCTATAATGCTGGAAAACCTTTACTGCTATTGCAGTAAAGGTTTCCCAGCATTCGAGATGTCTTATCTTCCTAGTATATAAAGAAAGGTTGGTACCTAAAGCCATTTGTTGCGTGCGGTTTGATTTTATTCTTGTAATCTACTTAAAAAGACACTGACCATTCGTTTTGTTTTGTCTTCAATCAGTTTGCTTGTACAACTACTTTGAAGTTCTTGTTTCAATTGGTGGCACCACTGTATTTTGTTTTGGTCAGAAACTGTATTTATTATTCATTATTTGTCCCTTGGGTTCCTTCAGTAGCACGTCTCCAATGCACTCTGTTCTCTGAAATCTTTTGAACCTGAAACCACGACAACCCAGGAGCTCTCATTTCCTCATCGGCGAAATCCAAATCTTCTAGGTTCTTTTCCGCGGTCCAGCGTATCCCCCTCTTCTGACTTCCCACTGTTTGTTGCATGATCCAGTCGTCCACAATCAGGAAGATCACGGGTGATAGTAGGCAGCAGCCTTGTCTTACTCCTGTCTTCACTTCAAAAGCATCACTGAGCTTCCCGTTGTGAATTACTTGGCATGTGGCGTCTTCATATAGTTGTTGAATGAGGCTGATAAAGGTTTGCGGTATTCCGTAGTGTTGAAGCAACTGCCAAATTACTTGTCGGTCGACGCTGTCAAAGGCCTTCTCCAAGTCGATGAAGTTGAGGCAGAGGGTTGACTGCCATTCTATACTCTGTTCGATGATGATGCGAAGCGTGGCAATTTGGTGCGGACATGATATGTACTTCCTGAATCCAGCCAGCCTGTTGCGGTCGTAGTTTTGAATTCAGTGCATCCTTTAGTCTCTCTAGGATGATGCGGCATAATATTATGCTTGGGGTGGACAGAAGTGGAGCATGATTCTGCGCCAGTTCTTGCAAACACTGAGGTCGCCCTTCTTCGGCAGTTGCAAGGTAGCCTTTCTTCCAATCAACCGGCAGGTACCTTCCCTTCCTTCCAGACCTTGTGCAGTGTGGTGTGAGCATGTCTGCTGTTGTCTCTGCGTCTGCTCTCAGTGCTTCTGGCTGAATTCCATCTGGTCCTGCTGCTTCCCCGCATTTCAGTAGCTTTATGGCATTCAGGACTTCGACTTTTGTTGGAGGATTTGTGTTCATTTGTAGTTCTGTGGCTGGGCTGCAGGTGGTATTTCTGGACGAAGTGCAGGTGGTGGTCGATTCAAGAGCTTCTTGAAGTGGTCGGCCCATCGTTTTCTTTGTTCCTCTTCTCTGGTAATTAGATTTCCTTCATCATCTTTTATTGGTTTCATCTGTGTTGATCTCTTCCTAGATGGTAACCTGGTTATTTGATACAATGTTGTCAGGTCTCTCCTACCTGCAGCCTGTTCTGTTTCACTTGCCATGTGTCGTAGAAGTGTATTTTGTCTTTGCGCTCACTCTTCACTTCTTTATCCGGTGTCTTATACACTGTACTCAGTTCGTCCTTTCGTTGTGCATCCTTGCACTGGTTTATCTTCTGCTTCACCATCCTCTCCTCTATCAGCTTCGATGTGTTCAGGTCAGAAACTGTATTAGCCTCTAAAACTGGTTTGTGATATATATATATATATATATATATATATATATATATATATATATATATATATATATATATATATATATATATATATATATATATATATATATATATATATATATATATATATATATATATAGTTTATCTACAATCCGAATATACATTCCTTGTTGGCAACCTTGTGTTTTAAATTCGGTCGGTTCGGATTGGATTTAGAAACTCCTGAGATTCACATCTTCGTTACGAACTACACAGTGATTTTGGCCGTAACACCATTTCTTTCCGAGTAACTTTTCGTCACTAGTGGTGCTGTTGTTTAGGGATAAACGCAACCTCATAGAAGTCAACACTGTAAAAAACACCGTATATGATCGACTTCCTTTGAATTTCCCCCTAAATTTTGTCGCTACTCAGAAATAATCACTTCCCTTTAAAGTACCTCAACATGACGTCAACAACCAGAAAGTATCTAACGCCCACTTGTCAAACAGTCCGCAAAATTTTTAATTATCACTAACCGCCTTCATCGTTGTCCCACTCCACCTTTATTACTGCATTTTAACAACACTACATTCAATACAACTTCGTCATTTAAACTCAAGATGTCTTACGATGATATATCTTCCTCAGTTACGTTACTTTACTGAAGATTTTGTAATAGAACAGCTCTTCTTATATGAAGATTCCTATGTCAGCTTATGATATGCAAACAACGTAATTTTGTGGATTGTAGGTATTGAAAACATTCAGTGCTTTCAAAATGCTGTGAAAGATAATTTCTCAACACTTAGCATGCATCACTCATTCAAATACCACTTATTGCTTCATGACCAATCTGCTTTGTGATCCATTTTCTTACCGTTGAAAGTGAAGTGGTTAAAATCATTTACCACTTCTTTTGCCTGGGAAGCACTGTCCGTCGTGGTCTGGTGCTTAATGACGAGATTTTGGCACGTATAAAAAATCTCAATTAGTCTTTGACTAACTTTAGCCTCATCCTATAGCTTTTTACCCACTTGTTCTTTGGACGCTAATGTGAAGTGTGGTAACTCCATCCAATGCAATAACTTCTGTGCCAGGTTATACGTTGATTTTGTGTCTGTTGGTGCCTGAAAATGATTGCATTAGCATAAATGCATGCGTGCTTTACTCATATTTCAGTCGTGACTTTGCATTTTTCTATTTACCTCTGCATCTTCTCTTTATTATGTCTTTTCACGACATTTGATTTTATTACTCCCATTTCGTAGCCTTTCATGTTGTTGATTACCTTGATGTGTTGATACGAAGCATGGAAAATTAGACATGTGTGCGGTAAGACCGGGCTCCATGTTGTTATTGACTAACTGGTACTGCACACTTCTATACCCCACCTAGTTACTATCTACTTATGATGGTGATGGATGAATGTTATTATCTCTCACAAAACTGGGAGCTAAATTCAATAAGTTATGTCATTAATACATATAACCAGCATCTATTTCCATACGTTTCTTTTAATGTATTTGATTGATGATGTACACAATTGTTTGCTTTGTTAGGTTGGAAATCTCGTGACTCAGTGCCTAGACTTGTCAAAGACTATCTATCGGGAGTGGTCAAAGTCGATGAATTCATCACTCACCACTTCGAGTTAAAGGATATTAACAAATCATTTGAGTTGATGCATAGTAGTAACTGGTAAGTCAACATCAAAGCATCTTTATTCCTTTATTTCATTTTGTGAAGTGTATGACCAAACTACTTTGCTTGTTTGTTGGAATTCTGGCTAAACTGTGGATATGATAGTGTGCTAGTCACATTAGTTTGGCATGCATTGTGCAGTATATGCTGACAAATTTGACTTTATTCAAAAACGTATTTCGAACTTTTCCAGACACCAGGACCAAAATTTTACCTGATTGAACTGAATCAGTTGAGGATTGTGTAAATGATTTATAAAGGAAATGCATTTGCTAAATGCCAGTAAAGTAGAAAAGTGAATTCCTGACGTTCTTCGATCTCATGAAAGCTATTTCTTGAGCGTATAAAATCTATACAATATATTTCCAGTTTAAGTAGTAAATAAAAACACATCAGATCATGCTGTTCGTGAATGCACACAAAAGTAATAACTAGATGGGATTAGAAGTTATTGTCATCAACTGTTAGTCCGTAACTTTAAGGCGAATGTGTGTGCAATTATGAGCTGGCGGAAATAAACCTTCCTACGGGACAACCAACCCTAAGGAATGCTTTAGTTCACATAAGACAATTCATTTTACCTCTACAAGTAATTTGTCGATTGTGATGATTGTTATATTTAGGAATCATTCCGTGAAAACCTTATTCATTCTAAAGAGTGTGAAAGCTACACACCTCCAAATATTTCTGTAAAACTGAAAAATTTACAACTTAAACTTGCAATCTGTATCCATACCATTTATCAGAACATGATAAAAACGTTGAGACCGTTCAAAAACGATTTCCAAGCACGACGAAAGACGGAAAACCTGGGCATTTCACTCAACGCATAGAAAGATTTAGTATACGACTCACACATTATATCCCAAATAAAATGTACTCGGTAGCCACAACTAAGTGCATACACAAACAAAAAAAATACCGTCCAAATTAAATAACTAACATTGTGTGTAAATGTTCGTTACAAATATATTTATAATAAATTGGTTCTGTCCGCAATACACAAATTTTTAGTGGATATAAACTGAATTTCTGATGCATATTGCTTTGTTCATACTCGTTCATACCGACTAGCATTTTCACATACGTTTACCCGGAGCTCACGGATGACAACTTTTAATCTTATCTAATTGTAATTCTTGTGTTTGCTCACAAACAGCGTGATGTATTTCTATTGACTACTTGAACGTATGATATGTTGTCTAGATTTTATACTCTCAAGAAGCACCTTTCATGAGATCGTGAAATGTTAGGAATTCACTTTTCTACTTCACTAGCATTTAACAAGTATATTTCTTTTATATTTTGAGATTTTTTTTATGGGTATCTACTACTTGTAATGAATTTTTGTTAAACATTGTTTCTGTTACTGATATGTAAAAGTGTTACATGGAGTTTTCACCGTTATTGTAATGCAGAAAATGCACATCTCAAGGTTTTCATGAAATTTATCGGTCACACTACCACCTGGACATATGTTGATCTTGATGATTGTGACTATTTATCCTAATCCTTAGGAGGCCATATTATACTGATGACTGAAAGAATGGCTAGATGTTCAAAACGCGCTCCACGTGCTTCGGTCTGGGCAACTAGGTAGCGTCATAAGCCCTCAGACAACAAATGTGGCTCATAGCCTAGAACAAAAACATGTATCGGGTTTAGCTACATTATTCTTTTGTTTATCTGGAGTTTATCAGTAGGAAGGAATGGCTTTAGTTAAAATAACGTAGAAAACTATCATAGAAAGTCTATATGAGGTTGTTAAATCAGAACTCGCAGATGTACATGAAGGGCAAGCGAAATATTCAACAGGATTATTTCATTTGTAACTTCTGTTTTTTTAAATTTTATATTCCATTAAAAAATGTGCTTGATGACAAATTACGTACTCCTTCATCATCTAGCCTGCGTTCACTTTTCATGCAGCTGATGCATTTCTTTAACATTTAGTTTGCCTCTGGATGCTTCATCGTACTAAAATTAAAGTTTTTAAGAAAATGGCAAAAATTAAGATCAAAATTTCGTTTTTTTGCTATCGTTTAAACCTGAAGTTTATTACGTAGAATATGAATTAAGAAAGAAATCTGAATTGGGTTACTAGATTGGCGTTAGCCTGATGAATATCACTTCCACTTATTAAGAAGTGGGTTCTGCTCTGGTATCAGGGTTCACTATGAACTGACACTTCATAGTAAGAGGTAAGTCAGTCGACGAGGTTGTGAACCTTCATCGACTGAGATGGTTGGGACACGTACTACGTATGCCTAGTCACCGATTGCCTCGTCACACAATGTTGGCTGAGGTGGGTTCAGGCTGGAAAAAGGCCCGAGGTGGCCAGACTAAAACATGGCACCAATGTATGAAGTCTCTGACTGTTGGTTTAAGCCATGTAGGACGATGCAGACTAGGTGGTTGGGGTCCACGGGACAAGAGGAACCAGTGGTTGGAGACCCTAGGTGATATGGCTCAGAACGAAGTCAGTGGCGCAGATGTATACACACATTATCCTCATCTTAACAACGCTATGCCGAATCTCACTATTTTGTCACTCCTCTTTCCTTTCTTCTCATACTGTATATTTCTTTTGACTGCATTTACTTATCTTCATCCTTCACCTCACTACCTTTTTACTTGTGCTGATATGAGGTGTGGCAACTCGGACCGTTACGCAGTAATGCCTGGTCCTATGTTGATAATGATGATGATGATGAAGATGTAAATACATATCTCCGATTACATTTAACCACGGAACATTTTCCTAAACCGAATGAAAGCGCCAAGTCTTGAACACTCATGTTCTCAAAACTTCCACCAGTTTGTTTCTTGTCAAGTTTTTATGAGTTGGCGGTCAAACAGATTTTTAATCAGTACTCGAAGTGAATTTCGCATCCTTACTTTGCGATGAATCTGATCTATGTTGTATGGACGTGACATAAGGGACATATCTCAGCTTACTTGCTGATATATGTATTACAGTCTTTGATATTTCATTTCTTATTAGTTAGTTCCCTGAGAAAGTTTGAACCAAACTTTTGGTTCAATATTAGGAATTGGTTTAGTTTGGACTTGTTGAGACTTATCGCAAATATAATATAGCATCATCCTTTTGTGTGCTGATGAAAAAGTTTGATTTACATGAATTTGGAATTTCTTTTCAATTTTAGTTGTCGGTTTTTCTTTTTAAAATTTCTCCTTAGTATCCGACCAATGATTCACTTATACAAACCTCAGTAAAACATCTCATCGTCCAGCAATCACGTCTTCAGTCTTCTAGTCACTATCGACTCTCACTGATTTTGGTATCAATATCCATTTTATACTTTTCTATGCAATAAATTGAATTTTTATAGTCATCTGTCTACTTTATGTCTTAATAGTCAAATATTGACGGAGAATATTCTTTTCAGTAACTTCTCATCAGGTTTTACGGTTATAAAATCAATCTTGTTAACATATTAGTAGTCAAAATTTGCGGCGAATGCAGTTTAGAATGGGTATCGGACTATAATTACAATTAGTCTCTTTAAGTTTATATATATATATATATATATATATATATATATATATATATATATATATATATATATATATATAATATGTCAATTGCAGTGGTAAGTTGATTGTAGATTTTGTCATTCGATCGGTGATCAGAGGTAGTGACTGTATACCATCACAAGGGAAGAAAAATTAATGATAAAGTTCAAATCTGCATTGTGTTGATTGAGTGGTTAGTGCAAAGAATGATATGAATTTACTATAGGGGCAGAAATGGAGTGGATGTGTTTTCATAAGGTGATCAAAACATGAAACGTCTAAGGTAATAAGAGTAATAATAGTGTTTTAAGAAATTTTCAACAGAAATTTTGAAGGTTTATAGGATGAGAGGGAAGTCTGGTTAAAAATAATACTTATTTTGTTTTCAAGAGGAAAATAGCGGGAATGAAAGTATAATAAAAGGATTGGGTAAGAAACAAGATTGAACGAATATCGTCCAGTCAGTGGAAGGCCAAAGGTGAAGTAAGGCTTGGTCATATTCTTTTTGAATACAAAGTTCAGCCTTAGTTGATCGTTTAGCTACAGCTTCTGCTATATGGGAATGCGTTAACGAATGGCAGATGGTAGAGTCTTCGGAACGTGATATCACGTCATATCTACGTAAGACGGGAGTTATAGTGGGGAAAGTGAGTACAGTTCGTAATCGTTTGCTGAAGTTATAACCTTTCATGGGAAAGCTAGTCCATCTCGTTGTTTGTCGCACCAAGGTGGTTAACAAATAAATCCTCACACCTGCTTATTGCATCTTGTCTATGCTTAGTAAAATAGTACTGAAGGGGTCGGTCGCACCAACTTTATAGAATAACTTATAAATAAATATTGCCCTAGTTTTGTTCATTATACATGGTTTAAATGCAGTAGCTGTTACTGCTCTCTTTCTGTGAAGTTCTGGTCAGGTTACGTTTAGTATTTATCGACCATTACCAAGAAACCTTCATATTTCAGCAGTATAACTGATACCAGTCACACGTCTACATCAGTTTATACTGTTTTTCGGAATACACCTAAGTTTATGTACTCAAGTAGTCCCGAAATATTTTACTTCGAGACCGTTTATTTCAGTCACAAATCTACATTCCAGTGCGACGGCAGTAACTGATATTGTCTTGTCCATCGGCAGGTTTGACTTCACCCTCTTCACCTATTAATAGTCACACGTGCTTTGGTATGGTGTGTGCAAGTGCAACTTGACAATGAAAACATTGGGGATGCTTTCAGTGGAAAACTGGCTAGACAGTTACGAGAACAGAAAAATGCTTACTCCGAAGAAGCCTAGTACGATCGTCAGCCTATTGTAAAAACAGCTATAACAGAAGGAAAGGATCAAGATCAGACAAGGAATTGCTGCGTAGCGGCCCAAGTCACCACACTTCATATTATCATATCAAATAAGAAAGCACAAAGACAAGAGATAAATGAGAGAAGCAGTCAGGACTGATAGAAAGTCGTCATAACCTAACAAGGAGGAATAAGGAATTATTGAATTTACTATGACGATCAAAATAACAGTGTACGGATAAATCCGAGCCAAATCACCTAGAGTCTCCAACTATCGGTTTTATTCTCACGTGGATCTCGACCGGGAAGTCTACATTTCCATACATTGGCCAAACCAGCAGTCAGAGATTTCATGTACTGAAGCCGCTTTTTAGCCTGGCCACCGCCTACTCTTTTTGCAGCCTAAGCCTACTTCGACCAACATTGTACGACAGGTTGGGCGGTGAATAGACATCCGTGACACGTCCTAGCCATCTGGTTCTATAGAGATTCGCAACCTTATCAACTGACTTCCCTCCTCCCTAAAACTCTACACCTGACTCCTACATTACTGTCTTGGTGACACGGCTAGTGCTGCAAAGGCAGTGGTAGTCGAATACCTGAAGCATTCTCGTGTCCTCTACCCCTAATCACCATGTCTTATATTGACATAGTAGAACACAGCAGACTGCGACGCAGTAAACGCGATCCTTAGTAGGCAACTGGGTATCTCAGCAACACCATAAGCGGCGTAAGTAGGCAAAAGACAAGGTAGCACTATGTATCCGTGCGGAGGTTTTGTCGGTCGCTAACCCCTCAGGATTGGTCCGACTTGCTAGCTAAGTGAAGTGGTCATTCTCGAATTTCCACCTAAAGTGTCCAGCAGACTAAGCATCTTCGCCTGACAAGACTATGTCATCTGCATTCTCTAGACCTACTAAGGAATCTGCGACAACACCAGTCCCTATGAATGTAGACGCGGATAAGAAGAAATTCATAAGTCCGTCTATGATAAACTTTTATAACCATGAAGGGGGTGGATATCCTCGATGATACCAGTCCAATCACACCATAGGCTGTAAAGCTCCAGTGGGTGTTCGCGTACAGTCACTTCAAAAAAGTGATGCTTTTACTGGGCGCCTCTTTCAGTGTGAAACTTCCATAAGGCTTATTGGTGGATGGTCTCGAATGCCACCATCAGGTCGAGAAATACAGCAAGTATTGAGCGTCGGTGGGTGTGTACGTGTTCTAGAAAGTGGCGAGAGTTGAATACCTGGTTGGTTCACCTACGGTCAGATCTGAAACTTGCCTGGTACTTATAGGTTGGTTGTTCCAATAACTGTAGAACGTAAGACCTTAGACACTGTTCGTCAGGCTGATCCCCCCATGTTTGCCACAAGAGGACTTCTCGGCTATTTTGAAGAATGTGGCAATCAGTAACCTAGACAAGTTTTAGAGGATTATATTTGACTTCCATACACTAACGCTTCAGGTAACCTGACTAGTTATATTTAGATAAATCCCAGGGTGTTTGAAATAATAATTCCTAACGCTTTGCATGGAAGTCTCGTCCGAACTTCTTCAGAGAAATCAAAATTACATCATTAAGGTAGGTTTTGATTTCTCTAAAGAAGTTCGTGTGTTGCATTTCAGACATCACTTATTACAAGATAATAGAGGTCACGGTTGTCTATGCATGATGAATATGTACTTGTTGTAAATATGTGACAAGAAATATGTTGCTTTTTGTCTACGAGTTAAAAGAATGAAGTCGGCTAGTGTTGTTTCCTCTTTTTTTCTTGAATCCCGCAGAAATACTAGTAGTGATGATGATGGAAAACATTGATACGCTTGATAACAGATTGTTTATTGTAGATGAGGATTTGGATGATGATGAAAATTAGTGCAAGCAGAACTAGAATAAAATGAAACATTATTGCTAATGGTTGTTTGGCTTTCTTCACGCCTATCAATTAAACATTATTTGCCATGGTGCGGCTAGCTTCACCCTGTCTCTTCTGTTCAAGCTGTTGGGATTAGCTCATAAATTTAGGGCCTCGGAGGTCAGTCTTCCTTTATATGACGCAAAATCTTTATGTAGAATTTTGGGCTTATTAAAATCAATCTTGTGTCCTGTATCCATCGAATATAGTGCCGTCGTTCATCTATTTTCCAATCTCTGAATGTCTGCTGAGGTCTTTGGAACTTGTTCTAGACATTGTCCATGTTCCTTGACTCTCACACTCACCTGCCTGGATGTTTCCTCTACATATTCTGCACCACAATCTGGACACTTTGTTTCATAGATACGATTCTGTTGATTTCCCACTGGCGTTACGTCTTTGACCTTCATCAAAGCAGAACGTAAATTATTTGTCTTCCTGAAATAAACTTTTGTGTCATGCTTGTCGAGAATTCTTCTGATTTCTTTCGACGCCTCTTTGCGAAATGAAATCAACGCGGGGTTGATCCATTTCTTTGGAGGACATTTCGAACTATTCTTCACTACGTTTTTTAAGATTCTTTTAACATATCTATCCAGATGTTTATTTTCCTTAAGTGTAGGTAAAATCTGATATTTACACGTAGGTTCACTTGTTATTTCTCGGACTTCAAAACAACACGATTTACTGTAAAATTCAGGGATTTAGGGCTCTTTCTAACTATCGGGGTAATCTTATTGCTCTCTATGTCAGAACATAAGGTTAATACCTTTGAATAAAAGTGACTGAGCGATGACACTTAAAAATCTGAACGCCGACATCGATCAGAAAAAATTGTCTTAACCACCTAACTTCTACATTTATGATCAGTCAGTCACCAATTTCTGTCTCCATAAACTTAGGCGTGAAAGTCGAATGGGAAAACAATCATATTAGCACTAGCTGTATCTGATGCCATGTGAGATAATTGTGGCTTCACTAACATTAGGGGTTATCATTGGGTTCAAATAGTGTGCAAATAAGTAATTTCGAGTGAATTTTTAACAGTCTGATTTTTCGTGATATTTTCATCCAGGAGTGCGAATTTCTTAGACTGCCTATTGATCTATCGAATTTCCTTCAGTTACATATTGCTATGAACAATCTTCCCAGTTGATTTTGAAGGTTATATCCATCTTATCTTCTCCTTGCAGTGGATCTTTCGGTCTGCATAACACGCTGTATAGTGATTTCATTAGTTTGTGGGCTACTCCAATTCCGAACGTACGAACGAATCAGTTAACTGTTTCTGAGATGTCCTTGATGTAGGGTAGTGTAACGTGCCTACCGATTTGAGACAGTTGCCCTGTCTTCTCTCTTGCTGGTAAACACGTTTTGATAAAGTTGAGTGGATAATCATTGGCTTTGAACACTTTGTACAGATGTTCTTCTGCTTTCCGTGCTGCTTCTCTAGTAGTGTCTGTACACAACAGTTCTAAC